ATGTGCAGTATCAGTGTTGTAGCCTTATCAGTTTCTGTATGGCAGTGGAGGTGCTCAAGCCCGCTTATGATGATCATGGCCCTCCTCTGGACTTACTCCCACAGCATCATGTGCTTCTTATGTTGAGGACACCACAACTACACAAAGTACTCCAACTGGGGTCTCAAAGGAGCAGAGGGGCAGGATCACCTCCATGACCTGCCGGTCACACTCCTGTTGATGCAGCCCAGCACATGGTTGGTTTCTGGCCTCAAGCACACACTGAAGCTGATTCATGTTCAGTTTCTCACCAACCAACACCCCCAAGTCCTTCCCTGCAGAGCTGCTCAGAATCTCTTCTCCACTTCATCTGTACCTGCGTGCCCCCAGCACTGATTATTTATGGGTGAGGACGCACCATGGTGGGACCTACCTGGCAGCAGCTGCTTCACAGGGTTGGCTTCAGGGCCATTGGGTGCCCGGATGTATTTGGGGAAGAGCCTGGGGACTTGCCTGCAAGAGAGTGGGATGAGTGAGGGGGGGAACCATCCCACGGACATGGGGGTGTCATCCTCACCCCCCCAGGGATACTCACACCGGGGTAGTGCGGGTGCCCTGCAGCAACTGTGCGAGCTGCTCGCGCTGGGGCGCGCCCGGCTGCAGGTCAATGCTGTGCTTGTCGAAGGTGTGCTCCACCGTGCCCCCCTTGCCCAGGTCCCTGCGGGCAGCACAGGCTCAGTGTAACGCCGGGGGGGCAGGCAGCGCTGTGTGCCCCACATCATGCCCTGCAGTACCTCTGGAAGGTCCAGGTGAGGCGGAGGGTGATGTCGGAGGAGCCGTTCTGAAGCTCCCTCCGCATCTGCTCCCGGCTCGGGGGGCTGATGCTCCAGAGCGAGCCCGAGCTGCCCTCGATGTGCGCTGTCACGATGTCCTCGTAGCCGTACAGCGTGATGAACTGCATGGCAACCTGGTACCGGGGGGGGAACATGGCTCAGCACCCACCCAAGGACACCCCGACCCCAGCAGGATGGAGCTGGAGGGATTCTGCATTGAGGGGGGAAGGATTTACCGGCTGCCTCTCGAACTTATGGGTGAGGGCTTCATAGTCCTGCAGGGTGAAGGGCTGGATGGATTGCTGCTGGGCGCTCATAGTGAACAGTGGCTGTGGGGGGACAAGATGCCGTCAGCTGGGCACGGGATCACAGCATCTGAGCTGGGCACCCCAGCACCCATCCCCTGCATCCTCACCTCGTACCCCCCCAGCTTGAGGGTGACGGTGACATCGATGGGGTGGTTCACAACACCCACCACGGAGCGGATCAGCGACATGAAGAGCAGTGGGAACCAAATGATGGCCACGAGGAAGAGGATGATGAGGCCCCCCATGCCATACTTGACGATCTTCTTCTTCTTCTGCCCCTTGGGCTGCGGGTATTTCTGCAGGGGGAGGACAGCACACAGTGCCAGGCAGGATCAAGGGGACCCCAAGCAATAACAGGTTATTGGGGGGCCCTTCCCAGCACGGTGGGGACGTACCTTCTCTGTCTCACGACTGCACTTGATGATGAAGATGTTGGCGTAGATGTCCTCCACGCACATCCAGTTGGAGAGGGACAGCGTGGTGTCTGTCCAGACCCAGTCCATGACAGCCCGCAGCTCCACGAGGAAGGGCACGAGGCGAAACCTGCAGTGGGGGAACACACTCATAGAATCCTATATAATCCTATAGAAATCCTACAGAAACCAGCAGGGAGGGACATTCATAAGATCATAGAATCTTCTTGCCCAAAAAAGTGGAAAGTGCCCCATCCCTGGCAGTGTTCAAGACCAGGCTGGATGGGGGCTTGGAGCAATGGAAGGTGTCCATGCCTGTGGCAAGGCCTGCCTGTGGCAAGGGGTTGGAACCGGATGATCTTGAGGTCCTTTCCAACCCAAACCGTTCTGTGATTCTATAACACAGGGAGAGGGGGCTGGTAGAGCACCCCCTGCGTGCCTGGGGGTCCACGTGGCCCCGTGCCATACCCCTGGAAGAGGAAGAGGTTGAGGTGGTTGTATTTCTTGGTGAGGAAGTTGCCCAGGATGCGCGTAGGGTAACCGCAGCGGATCTGGTAGGCTGACAGCGAGAAGTAGATGCACTTCACAAAGTACCACAGCTGGGCCACGGTGTTGAGGCTGAACAACCTGCGGGAGGGAGGTGTCACCCCTCTGGTCACCTGCTTGGGGACACAACGGTGCCACCCCAGGGGCGACCCAAGGACCACATCGTGCCCTGGCATCCTTAGGGGATGCTCGGTACCTTTCCGTGACAGCCGGCAGGATGAAGAACATCCAGAGGTGGATGCTGAAGACCAGGATGACCTGGAAGATTAGCTTGCCCAGCACAGTCTTGCGGAGGTAGAGTGCACGGTCAATGA